TTGATTGGAAGCATCCCTGCTGCTCTGGGATTCCTTGGGGTTGGTTTTTTTTTTTTTTGGGGGTGGGGGGGATAGACAGATGCTCTGTTCATGTATACATGGAGGGAGGGGGGGGCGGGGAAGGCTTTACACGTTGTAGGGTGTAAAATGCTTATACATCTCTCAAACTAGTTGGAGGTCTGTCAGAAAAAAATACCTTCATCTTTCCTTTGGAGTACAATAGCGACGTGGGCTTCAGAGGGATGGGGTCGGGTTGCTCCGGTGAGCAGCAGTCGGGCTCAGCTGCAGGCACGACTTCGCAGATTAAAGGGAATCTTTGCCCAACATGAAAATCTTTGCCATTTTGGCAATATCTCTTGCAAAGGTCTCTCCAATCACAGCTCTCCAGGGCCTGCTTTTGGGCCTGGGGCTGGCTGCTGCTGCTTTACTGTGCCTGGGCAATGTGTAATAAAGGAACAAAAATGACTCGCCTCCGTCTTCGTGTGCCGAGGTGCGAAGGAGGTGGTGCTGGTTGTGTGCTATGTGCACCCAGAGGTGTTGCTTGAGCAGGACAACAGCGCTGGCACATGGGCAGGGAGCAATGTGCTTTAGTACGTAGATTCAAATCAAGAGGAGAAGAGAGGAAGACAAACGTGCTGGAGCCCTCTTGCCCTCCTCTGACCCCCCTCCTCCTCTTTGAACCCTCGCTCCCATCCCAGCTGGGCCAAATTGCAATGCAGCGCATCCCTGCAGGGATGCTGATGCAAGCGGTCAGGTCCAGAATTACCCACCCGTCTGCAGACCAGCCTCGGGTGATGCATTCGTCCCCATCACTCAAGCAGGGCCTTGCAAGCTCTGGCACAAGGGGTCAGCCTGCAGATCTCGGTTGCCAACGCCTGCAGGAGCAGTCGCAGGTGGCCCTGCTACCCTGATGTCCCCAGCCGCTGCCTGCGCCTGCCTGCTCCCTCTCTCTTGCTCTGCCAGGTCTCGGCTCCCTTACACCCACCATCCATCCCTGGTCCTCCACCTCTGGCTGCTTCTCAAGCAGCCCCTGTGAAGCTCTTGGTGCAGGGAGCTAAAGGATCGCGTCGCCGGCTGGATGCCAGCTAAAGGGGCGTTTCTGTTTGGGGTTTATTTGGGAGGAAGGTTTGCAGCTGGTTTCTGAAGGGGTGGGAGGGCTGCAGTCTTCTGGCACGCAGGGCGAGCAAAAACTTTACAGCGAGGCGGTCCCTCTCTCCTGAAGAAGGGGAAGGCAAAAATGGTATTTTTATAAGGGCTCGTTCCTCATTGCAACAGCATTTTGAAGAGGAAATGACAACCAGCTTTAAAAAAAGAAAAAGGAACTTGAGCTCTGTGTGGAGAGAGAGAGAGGCTGAAGGACAGAATTAAAACCTTTTAAATAAAGGGGGAAGGGACACGCACTCCATGTTTGCTTGTATTTTTTTTTTAACTAAAGATTTTTATGATCGTTATCAATTAGGACTGATTGGAAAAAGAAAATGCTGCCTTGTGAGAAATGCTGGTGTTTTGAAGTTTGCTTTTCCCCTCTGGAACTGGACTGAAAAATTGATCTCGCAGGAGGAAGCATTTTTCCTGAGGGAGAGACCATAATGGCAAAGTCAACATTTAGGTGGTTTTGATCTGCCAGGTTATGTGATCCGGGCTGTTAAACCTAATACCCCGAGTGAAATACGACCAGAGCAGGAGAATTTACTTCTGAATCATTTCAGAGATTGACAGTTTTCATGAAAACCGATACTTTGTGAAAAAATACTTTTGTTGAGACCTATCTCAACAAAAATACAACAGTTTTGGGATTGTTTCTTTTCTTTGCATATATCTAGTAACAGAATCCTTCTGCTCCTGCCCATGGCTGGGAGGAGAGCCTGGTTAATTTGATCCTTAGGAGAGACCATTTGCAGAGAAATGGTGGCATGGTAAAACATCTATTTGAGGTTCTCATCCTCTGAACAATCATGGCAAGTTACTCGAGCTGGGCAAAAAAAAGCAGGGGATGGCTGAAGCGAGTCGGGAAGCTCTCTCAGTCTCCAGGGCTTCAAGGAGACAGTGCAGAAGGTGCTTTCCTGATGTCGCCTGTTTTGCTGGCTTTTCCTGGGAACGTGCCTGCATTTCTGTGTGTTTCCAGACCTCGAGGTGCCTGCTGGACCATGGTGGTCTGTCTCTGGGTTGGGCTTGTTCAAAGCACCTAGACCTACTTAGCTGTCCTCGAGCTTGTGATCTCCCCTCAGCATCTCCCACCATCGAGGATGTCCATAGGAACTCAAGGGAAAAATCAAGTCTTGTTCCGTTTCCTTCCCTCCACCCAGCCCTGGCTGTTGGGCCCAGAGGTCGTTTTCTCTTCCCAAGAAAACGGCATGGCCCTGCTCTTCAGGCACTGGTTTCTGCCAGTGCACAGCTGGATTAAGGCAGTGCCCCCCAGCTAGCACTGAAGCATAGCACCAAATCCTGTTAGAGGCGCAGGCAGCAGGAGCTGTAAGTGAAGACCCTCCATGTGTACGAGAGGTCCAGGGCTTTGGAGAGGAGCCGGCTGCCCCCAGCTCGGCTGTGGGTGGCTTTGCTCCAGCGTAGGAGGGCTGGCACCTCCAAGGAAGGGCACGTGGGCTGTGCATGGGCAGGCAGACTGCAGCGCACGCCTGTAGTAAGAATGGGTTGCATGTGCATTGGGGGATTAGTCACGTTGTCTGCAAAAGCCCAGGGCCAGGAGGGATCCCTGTGATTATTTTAATCTGACCTGCACTGAAAAGTCATCGGCTTTTCTGGAGGGAGTCCTGCTGTGAATGAGAGGTGGGGACCGTGTCTAAGCTAGAGCTGGTCCATCCCCAGATGCCAGATCACCTACCACCTTGGCCTTGGTTTTTAGGATAGCATAAGAAGCCCACAGCCTCCCAAGGGGGCCTCCG